CGACCAAATTTTATGGTTTTTAGCTTGTTTTTTGACAAACTTTCACTCAAAACGAGTATTAAATCGAATGAAACAAACAAAATATTATCAATTTAAATCTAATTTGGTAATTTTTCAGTCAGTTTTAACAATACTTTGTATTTTGGAAACCGAAAAACTATAAAAATGCAAAATTAACACTAATTTAAGTTTATTTTGGTAAATTTTTGGTMTGTTTTTAACGATATTTCGCAAAATACTGCTGTTTCTGCCTGAAAAATGTAGTAAAACGCTCTGAAAAGGCCTAAATAATGATTTTTATGAATAAATTTTGCATTTTTTATTCTGTTGACATAAAAAACAAATAAAACTATTTCTTTGTTAAAAATCGTTCAAAAACGTGCTTACACTCTTAAAAAAGGTAAAAAGAACACTAATTTTGTTTTAATTCTGTATTTTTTGCTTGTTCTTAGCAAAATTTTGAAAAATATCTATGTGTTTACCTGAAAAACGTGCTAAAACACTTAAAAAGGCAAAATAATGACTCACTTTGGTGTTTTTTGGGCTTGTTTTAGCAAAATCTCGCAAAAATGTGATTTCAGACTTGAAAAAAGTGAAGAAATACTATTTTTTTACAAAATTTTATTCAAAAGAAGCTAAATCGAATGAAACAAACGAAATAATATCAATTTAGAATTTTTATAATTTCTAAAAAAAGCTAAAATATTATCAATTGCAATCCAATTTGGTAATTTTTTAGTCAGTTTTAGCAAAACTTTAATAAGTATTTTAAAAACGTACTTAAACACTATAAAAATGCAAAGTTAACACAGTTTTAATCCAATTTGATAAATTTTTGGTTTGTTTTTAACAAAATTTCGCAAAATAGTTTTGTTTCTGGCTCAAAAACGTACCAAAACTCTTCGAAAAAAGCCAAAATAATAAAATTTTCAATTAAATTCAGCGATTTTTATTGCTTCTGTTCAGTGAAATATCATTAATACAAAAAAACTATTTTCTAATGTAATTTACAAAATTATAAGTAAAGGATAGAATTAAAGATAAACATTCCAAATTATTTTTTAAAGATCAAAAGTTTAATAATTTATTGTACCACTATTGAAAGTCCAGTTTTTGATATTTAATTTAGAAATAAAAATATCGTAATTTAATTTTGTTTTAATCCATAACCTATTGCAAATTGAAGTTGTTAAAATCAAGCAAAACTTGTGTAAAAACATTTAAAATAAAAAAAAATCTTAAATAATTACTTTCTTTCTCTAACACACGAACGATTACCTATTTACCCATCTTTTTCCCAAGATAATTTCCGTCTAAGTAAGTAGATAAAGTTGCTGGTTTATGCAATTATTCTAAGTGAAATTTAATTCCAAATAAAGGAACATATCTTATTAGGAAATTGCTTCATATATCAACTTCACTCAAAGACACTAAACTTTAATATTTTCAGTAAAAAAATAATTTTTTTTGTCTTTGTCAGAGCCAAACCAACAAACCAAAAAGCCCTCCAAGACATGTATTATTTATTGCGTTTAACCTTCGACTCCTTGAGCTACTCTCGAGGGCTTACGATGACCCTCCTCACATTATCCAGACTCAACAATTTTGACCTTTGTCGATAAAATATTTTTTTAAATTGTGAAAGATATTTTTTTGTTGAAAAACATCCATGTTTTTACCAGAAAAAAGTGCTAAAACACTTAAAAAAGCAAAATAATGCCTCAATTTGGTGTGTTTTGGGCTTGTTTTAGCAAAATCTCGCATAAAATGTGATTTCAGACTTGAAAAAAGTGAAGCAACACTATTTTTTGACAAAATTTTATTTAAAAAGAGCTCAAACAAACAAAATAACATCAATT